AGAAATGAGAACATATCTCCAGGCAAAGACTTGCACACGAATGCACTTAGCAGCATGAATCATCAGAACCCCAAAATGGAAATAATCCAAAACGTTCTTCCACCAGTAAATGGATGAACAAACGTGGCCGGTCACTACCATGGAATACTACATGGCCATAAAAAGGAAGGTGGCACTGATCCATGCTACGACCTGGATGAATCCTGAAAATAGTGTCCTAGTTGAGGGAAGCGAATCACTAAAGATCATCTGTTGTATGATTCCATGGAAACGAAATGTCCAGAACAGACAAATATTAATACAGAGAGAGACAGAAAGAGATAGTGGTTGCCTGGGACTGAGGAACCAAGAGTCATTGTAAATGGGCGAGAGGCTTCTTTTTGGGGGTGCTGGAAATTTCGTAAAACTCGATTGTGATGAATGCAACTCTGTATCTTTACTGAAAATCACGGAATCCCACACTTCGATGGGTAAATTGTATGTTATGTCAATTAAACCCAAGCTATTTTTTTTAAAAATATGATTTGACCTTCTAATGTCAGAGAATTAACTGAGATAACACACATTAACACAGGCTGCCTGGTACAGAGTAAATACTTGATAAAGAATGACAATGACAACAAAATATAGATTATAATGGATTATATAAATGCAGAAAGCAATTTTTATCACTTATATATATAGTTCTTGCCATACCACTTCAATATGTATCAACTCAATTTAAAGTCCGCCCAACAACTTTATGAGGCACATGTATTAATTACCATACCACTTTTGCAGATGGGGAAATTGAGGCACCAAGCAATTAAGTAACTTTTCCAAGACTGCACAGTAAATGGTAGAGCTGGGATTTGAATCCTGGAGGATGAACTTCAGAGAATTTGTGGCCTTCCAGAACCAAAAGAGTGGCTTCTTCACTGAATCCAAACTTTGTTTTTTTTTTTTTTTTTTTTTTTTTTTTGAGACAGAGCCTCAAGCTATCCCCCTGGGTAGAGTGCTGTGGCATCACAGCTCACAGCAACCTCCAACTCCTGGGCTTAAGTGAGTCTCCTGCCTCTGCCTCCCAAGTAGCTGGGACAACAGGCACCCGCCACAATGCCCAGCTATTTTTTGGTTGCAGCCATCATTGTTGTTTGGCAGGCTCGGGCTGGATTCGAACCCGCCACCTTAGGTGTATGTGGCTGGCGCCTTAGCCACTTGAGCCACAGGACCCGAGCCTGAATCTACACTTTGTTAAAAGGATTTGTTCTGTAATATCTGGGTTCAGTCAAAAGGCCATACTCAAGGATCCAGAAGGCCCCATATGGTGCCTGCCCTCCCAGCTGTGACCCTACTCTGTCTCACAGTAACTATCCCCATGCATGGAGTTACTGCTCTACCCAGTGCTGGGGAGGGAGGGTAGAGAAAGAGTCACAGAGCACTCTCCAGAGGAGGTCACAGCAGGAGTTAGTCAGGGGAAGACTGTCCAGAGGTAACCACCTGTGCTAAGGAATAGAGGTCAGAGAAGGGGGGTGTAGGGGGAGAGGGCAGGAGTAGCTGCAGCACTGAGGGTGGGGCTCAGGCAGGGCTGAGGGCAGGTGCCCCTAGCCTAAAGGCAGTAAGGGCCCGAGGAGGAAATTCAGTGAGTTAGTACCCAGGCTGCCTTTCTGGGGAACAACTCACATTACCGAGGCAGGTGGGGGAGGTTGACTCAGAGGCTGCTATGAGCTCAGGGGAGCGGGGGAGCTGCCACCCCACGCTCCCACCCCGCAGTGAGCTAACACCCCAGCAGCCTCCCAAACGCCAGCTCCACCAGCAAGCAGAAGCCGTTCCCAGCCAGCTGGGCGCAGCGGGCTGTCACGCTGCCAGGCGGCTGAGCACAGCTCAGTGAAATCAGGGGCTGACTGATGGCAGCCACCCCCCATCCTAATCCGGCCACCTCTGGACCCCAGGGATACCTCTCGCCCCACCTCCACAGCCTGCCACAGAGCACAGTGCTCTGGCCCCTCGGTGCTTATTTGGATGTTGCCAGAGCCAGAGGAACAGCCCACAGGGTCTAGCACTTTTCTCATTCAAATTTAATACCTTTCCATCCATCTCTTCCATTTTCCCACATCTGTTCTAGATAAGCATTTGCAAATGTTCACAAAACATTTACCGAGGCACAGGCAAAACTACTGGAAAAATCTCCATCAGTAAGAAACTAGATCAAAATTTTGGTGAATCCATTCCATGAAATACTACACAGCAGTTAAAAAGAATGACGTAGATCTACTGAACAGTATGTCCCTGGCATGAAAATATCTACAAGATGCACTGTTGGATGAAAAAAAAAAAAAAAGGAAATTGCAGAATAACATATCCAGGATGCAGGATGTCATCACTTACATAAAATCTTTTTTAAATTTGACTCTATGTCTCTCCGTAAGTAAATGTGAAAAATGCAAGGAGGGAAACACATCAAACCAACATCGGTGGTGATGAAGGAATGGAGGGAAGTGACTTTTCACTTTGCACACGTCTTTGTTGCTTGCTTTTTACAAGGAGACTATGCTAGTGCAGAACAGGTTTCTTAAAACCCTTAAATTCTGTGAACACACACACAAGTGTGTTAAAATTATCACTGGATTGGTGCAGGGCTCAGGGTATCCTTTCAAGGAGTTGTCATACCCAGAATCTTGTCTAATTTCTGCCGCACCCTATTGAAGACAAGCATTCAAAACCCCATTTTGCGAATTAAAAAAATTAGACCAGAGAGATGAAGCAAGCTGCCCAAGGTCACAGGCAGGGAGGGCTGCAAGGCACTGGTCCCTGGAACTCCGAGTCCAGGGCTCTAACCAGTCACCGGGCTGCGGGCAAGGGGCGGGGCCTGGGCAGGCGGCTTGGGAGGCGCTACCCTGGTGGAGGCTCTGCGGTGTCACTTCCCGCTCCCTCCCGGCGCCTCCGAAAGCCCCTCGGGGAGGAGGGAGACGGGGCTTTGTCAGGGAAGAAGTGAGTGAACGGTGAGGGATGAGAGGGAAGCTGATGAACCGCCACCCCCGGCAAAAATTAAACATCATGATGAACCACCCACTGAGTGGGATGGGGCTGCCACGTCACTCGGCAAACCACGCGTGGGAAGCAGCTTAGCGGGGCCGTGTCCCCGAGCATGAGATTTCACGCCTCTTTTCATGGGGGCTGCTCACCCCGGTTCTCAGCTAAGCTGTTTCCAGCACCATGGTGCCAGGTACGCTCTTCAGCTCATTTCCTGGAGCCCTCTGTAAGCAGGCTGGAAACAGAATCATGCTTCTCAGAAGGTTCTAGAACCTGAAAAGCCAAGTGAACAAAACCCAACACCCTCTTGTGCCACCACCACATCTCAGATATTTTGCTTTAGTGCCAAATGTCTGAAGGGGACGCAGAGGGACCCAGGAAACAGTGCGAGGCCTCGCCAGGCCTGGCCAGGAAAGCTTTGTACATAGGGACAGGCCAAAGGCTCTACAGGGAACAAACCTCAGCCACACAATGAGCAGGCACAACCCTTTCAGGACATGTCCAGAGAAGGGGTTTAGGTTTAACAGTGGACCCTCCATTCATCCTCAAACTACGAAGCAAACTTACAAGATCATGAGGGTAGAGATAAGAACTTGGATGCTGGGGGCTGTAATCCTGCCCTGCCACCTTGGTTAAGATTATGAATCTTTCTGAGTCTCAGTTTTCCCATCTGTAAAATGGGTATTATTGTGGCACAAATCATGGTATTTCAGTAAAGAGACACATAATAATAATATAATTAAATAAAATATAACAAGTACGGGGCATCCATCAAATCTGGAAACCTGAGATTACATAAAGGTGTAAATGTGTGTGTTTATATTTACTTATTCATTCACTTCACAGAGTGAAAATTTCCTAGGCAACATTATGTATATTTGTCTATGTTTTCAGTTCTATGGACATCCTGTGATAATATAAACATAATGAAATGAAAAAAACAGTGATAATATTATAAAATAAAACATTAATAACCACTTAGCGTGAGGGATCAGGTCCAAGAACTTCACAGGGATTATCTAATTAATGTTCACAGCAAGCTGTCTTATTAGCTCCATTTTACAGGGGTAGAAACTAAGTACAGAGCCAAAGTGACATCTCTATTTGACAGGCTCACATCGGCAACTGACAAAGCCCATTTTAGACCCAAATAGTCTCATTTCAGAGTCTAGGCCCTCTACACCATTTATTTAGTGATGACTAAATAAAATGGGACAGTATACAGAGAGTGGGATTTGGCACCGAGAAAGGACTTAAGAAATGCAAACTCCTGTAAGTATTGAGATCTTGGAGAGAAGAAATCAGATCCACCTTGTTCACCACTATATCTAGAATAGTGATGTACAAAGAGTAGGTTGTCAGTAAATACTGCATTTGGCCATGTATGAGGTACACTTTTTTGCTTACACTTTTGAGGGAAAAATAAAGGGGCACATTATACTTGTTACCACTGGAACATAAAATTTCTTGGACCTCATATCTATTCGTGTATTTTGTAATTATTTCTTACATAAAATTTCTAGTACCGTGTTAAAAAATAAATGCTAAAATTCCTTTATAATATAAAAAGAAGTACCTAAACATAAACTAATACAAATTTGAATTAAAACATTAAAATGAAAGATTGCTTTCCTGGAAGTTTGGACCAAAAAGTGGGTGTGCGTTATGTACGGGGGAAGGAATTATACCCGGCAAAACCTGGTATTTGGTAGGAGAGAAGGAAAATTATTCAGGTCTTCATTAGCCAAAGACTGGAATCCTTGTCCCTCCCTGCCCACCCCAACAAAAAAGTCTAAGATAAATTCAAAGCTTTTCCTAGGAGCATTCAATTCCCAAGACACGTGTGGCCACCCAAACTTGCAAACCCACCTCATCCACATCTCTATGGCACGGGACCTGGAATCCAAACCCTGAACAGGACCAGACAGCCACCAGCCACCGGTCACCAGCCACCGGTCACCAGCCAGCAAGACTCAGAAGGGACTTACCTTCCTCGGCATCATTCCTCAGCGAGGCCTCCAGCAAGGCCACGTTGGCCTCAAAAGACACCTTCTTGCGGCGGCCACCTGTGCTGCGCTTCCGCTCGTGTTTGCGCTTGCGGTGCTGCAAGTCCTGCTCGTACTGTGCCCACTTCTTCAGCTGCTGGGCCCGGCGCTTCTGGGCGGCACGCAGCCGCTCCAGCGTCGGCACCTTCTCCAGCAGCTGCAGCTCTGTCAGCAGGTCCACGTGGCTGGCCATGGCCACCGCGCCTCCCCACGCCCTGGCTGGGGGCTAGCACGGTGTGCCACGGGCCAGGGAAACGCGGGGGCTTCTGTGGGGCTGGGGCCTCATGGTGGTGCCTGTGGCAGCAAGAGAGACACAGATGGTCACACGTGTCAGGATGGAAAACTCAGATCTGATTATATCACCCTAAGTTCAAAACTCTTCGGAGGTTTTCTTTCCATTGCTCTCCAAACAAAAGTGCAAATCCTTACAGAAGCCTTCAGTCCCAGCAAGGTCTGGCTGTGCTGTCTAATGCAGCATCAATGGTCACATGTGGTTACTTAATTTTTTTTTTCTTGAGACAGGATTTTGCTCTGTTGCCCAGGCTATAGTGCAGTGGCATCATCACAGCTCACTGCAACCTCAAACTCCTGGGGTCAAGCCATCCTCCTGCTTTAGCCTCCTGAGTAGCTGGGACCACAAATGCCTGCCACCAGGCCTGGCTAATTTTCCAAAAATGTTTTTGTAAAGAAAGGGTCTCTTGGGTGGTGCCTGTGGCTCAGTGGGTAGGGCACCGGCCCCAGATACTGAGGGTGGCGAGTTCGAACCCAGCCCTGGCCAAACTGCAACAAAAAATAGCCAGGCATTGTGGTGGGCACCTGTAGTTCCAGCTACTCAGGAGGCTGCAGGGAGGCAAGAGAATTGCCTAAGCCCAGGAGTTGGAGGTTACTGTGAGCTGTGACAGCACAGCACTCTACCGAGGGCAATAAAGTGAAACTCTGTCTCTAAAACAAAACAACAACAACAACAACAAAAAAGAAAGGAAAAGAAAGGGTCTCTCTATGTTGCCCAGGCTGGCCTCAAACTCCTGGCCACAAGTTGACCCTCAGCCTCTCAAAGTGCTGGGATTACAAGCATGAGCCACTGTGCCTGGCCCCTATTTGAATATAAATTAATTAAAATAAAATAAAGTATACAACAATTTAGTTCCTCAGCCGCATTAACCACTTTTCAAGTGTACAATTGCCACATGCTTCATACTTTTTGTTTTTGAAAACAGTTATTTTTTAACCAAACATTATATACTACTACATAAATATCATATTTTTACATCATAAAAATCTATGTTGTTATATTATCATAACCATCATGAGTTTATTGTTTTCAAAAGGGATTAATACTATTTTTTAAATTTTGCAGTATTTATTTACAATATGATAAATATTGACAGACATAATCTACACAAACAAAAGCTCTTCGGGATTCTCAATAGAGGATAAAAAGATCCTAAGACCAAAAAGATTTAAAACTGCACTCTGGGAGTACAGAGGCAGGACGATCGCTTGAGCTCAGAAATTCAAGACCAGCCTGAGCAGGAGTGAGACCTGGTCTCTACTAAAAATAGAGAAATTAGCCAGGCGTCATGGCAAGCACCTGTCTCCCAGCTACTAGGAAGGCTGAGGCAAAAGGACTGCTTGAGCCCAGGAGTGTGAGATTGCTGTGAGCTAGGATGACTCCATGGAACTCTAACCTAGGGCAACAGAGTGAGACTTTGTCTCAAAAACAAAACCAACAAAAACCCTACTGAACTCTTAGGGGAACCTAGAAAATCTTACTTGAAGTTTCCTTCTTTGTATGACTTTTAAAAAGGTGGGTGGAGGGAACCCACATCCACACACACCCCCACACACACCTCTTGCTCTCAGGAATCTCAGACCTGAGGTCAACAAAATGTCAGAGTCCAAAGCCAGCTGGTCTTCATGTCAGCATGGACCCTGTGGTTCCTCAGACAGAGGAAAGGGGTCTGTTTCCCCACTGCAAAATGTTCTATCTACCTCCCAGGCAAGTTAAGGGCAAAGTGTTTAAGGAATAAAAAGAGCTGGCCCCAAAAGTTAAACAGTGAATAGCAAAGAGACCCAAGAAGAGCAGGGGAATCCAAATGAAGCTCATCTGTGAGCCAAGGCTGCCGGCAGGTTGTTAGGTGATAGGGAAAGATGGGTACAGGTCTACATCTGTGTAATGTGGAAATGCTTCCTATCTCAAAGGGGTCAGGAGGGCCCTGGCTTCAGGAAGCCTTGTGAATCTCCTGAGTCTCCTGTTTCACCCTGCCCCTCTGAATGCCCTTCCTCAGAGGCTAAAAAACCTCAGGGGCCCAGGTTGGATCAGACTACTCTTCAGGCCTCTTCCAGCTTGGAAAGTACATAGACAGAATGTGGAAGGGGCTGGCTTGGAAATGCTCACAGGGCAGAGGTTCCAGCGTTCTGAGTGGGTCGGACCTCCAGTGTCAAGAGCCGATGGCCATGCTCAGCAGGAAACAAACAAGCTAACAGACTTTGGTTGCCTTTTGTTGGGTTTTGTTTTGACTTTTCTTTTGACTATCTTGCATTTTTAATTAATTGGTTAAACTTTTTGAGATCATTGTTATAACACGCAGTGGTAACTAACAATACAGAGAGATCCCAAGTACCCAGTTTCCTAAAGGTAGCATCTCGAAAACTACTGTACAGTATCACAGCCAGGAACCTGACCTTGATACCATCTACCAACATTATTCAGATTTCTCCAGTTTAGCATGTACTTATTTGAATGTATGTGTTTCATTTTGTGCAATTTTATCCATGTGTCCACCAACATGGTCAAGATACGGTTCCACCACCACAAGGATCCCTCTCGATCATTACAGCCTTACCACCTCCTTCCCTAAGCACTCCCTCAAACCCACTTCGGTCCCTGACCTGACCTTCACGAATCTGTTCCCTATCTGTAGACTTTTCTCATTTCACAATATGTTATGTAAATAGAACCTGATAGCAGAGGACCTATGGGGGACTGGCTTTTTTTCACTCAGCATCAATCCTTTGAGATTCATCCCAACGGCCGCATGCCTCCATAGTTCCTTCCTTTTTGTTGCTGAGTAGTATCCTGTCTTATGATGGCCCCATTTTTTTTAACCATTCACCCATCGAAGAACATCTGCCTTGTTTCCAATTCGGGGCTACAGGTTTCGGTGTGAACATAGTGGTTGTTTCTCAGGGGTAAATGTCCAAGAGTACAATGGATGGGTCATATGCTAATCACACGTTTAGTTTTAAAAGAAACTGCCAAACTGTTTTCCAGGGTGGCTGGCTGCAGCAGTTTTCATTCCAGCAAAGTCTGAGTGATCCAGTTCTTCTGTGAGCATTTGGTGTTGTCACCGCCTTCTATTTTAGCCATTTAGGTATTTTGGTTGCTTTTTTAGAAGTAAGGAGTGCAAGGGAGCTGAATTCTCAACCACACAGGATCATCAGGATGGTCAGACTTCCCTGGAAGCCAGCAGATACATGTTTATTTCACCCCACGTCCCCATATGCCCAAACATTTTATGAACATCTGCTGTGTGACAAGCCCTGAGTCAGAGACCAGGATCAGGGACCAGCTCTGCCATCTAGGAAATCCCCGTCTGTCAATCTATCTATAAATCCTTTTAATCCTCCCAACAACCTAATGAAATAGGTACTATTGTAATGCCCATTTTTCAGATAAGAACATTGAGGCACAGAAAGATTAAGTAATTTATGGTACAAAGTAGAAGAACCATCTGCCTGAGGCTCTCCCTAGTACAAAACAGCTGACCTGACGCTCAAAGGATGAACAGGAAGTGGCCAGGTGAGAGCAGTAGACACAAGCTGAGAGGAAGTTTGGCAAAGTTCAAAGGCATGCAGAGAGGCTGGCCACAACGCAGGGAATTCTGGAAACTGACACACACAAACATGGTCTGGACAGGACATGGCTGCCCAGCCCATAAGGAACAGTGACCCACTTGTGGCTGTGGGCCAAACTTAACCAGAAAACCCCCTGCAGTCCACATCATATGTTTTTTTTTTTTTTTTTTTGAGACAGAGTCTCAAGCTGTTGCCCTGGGTAGAGTGCTGTGGCGTCACAGCTCACAGCAATCTCCAACTCTTGGGCTTAAGTGATTCTCTTGCCTCCGCCTCCCAAGCAGCTGGGACTATAGGCACCCACCACAGTGTCCGGCTAATTTTTTTTATTTTTTTTTTTTTTTGTTGTAGTTGTCATTGTTCTTTTAGCTGGCCAGGGCTGGGTTTGAACCACCAGCCTCAGTGTACATGGCCAGTGCCCTACCCACTGAACCATGGGCACCGCCCCATCATGTGGGTTTGTTTGGCTTTAGTCCACACTGTGTTTTACAACATTTTAATTCACAACCAGCATTTCAAACTTGGAGATTTTTTCCCCAATACCAGATTTCCAGCTTTTCTTGGAACATCTGCGCATCTGGCCATGCTGTGCTCACTGGTACCCATTGACAGGCTCAGAGCAGGACTGTCTTCTTAGAAAGGATGCGTACACTTTTGTTTACTGCAGTCACCATTACTCCCCAATTACCCCCGCCAACTCCTTTACTAATTGACATCACTTGCTGTTCCCATGGTCATTTGAGTTTGCAAGTCCAGTCATGGCCAGAATGGGCTCCAATCTGCGCAAGAAAGGGAAGCTGGTCTGTGAGTCTCCCCAACACGGAGCAGGAGCAAGGTATAGAGAAGCAGTTGTGTGCACCCAACTTGTCCAACAAGCAATTCAACAAAAGTACTTGAAGTCAGTGACTGTCTCAGGAGGTGGTAAGTTCCCCATCACTTATTGGTTTGCCATCACTTATTGGAAGACTGGGCTACATATCCTCGGAGACTTCTTTCAGCCCTAAGATTCTGTATGCGGTTACTCCATTATTATTACTGCCCACCTCTTAAGTGGGAGGTACCAAAACCATGCCAAAAATAAAAGGTAATGATCCTGATCATTTAGCTGGTTGCAAAGCACTTTATCCCTTTCAAAGAATTTCCCTAGCCATCATCTCAGCCAAGTGTTTCCCTAAATGTGGAAAGAGAATCCACCCCAAAGGAATTTTCAAAAGTGCAGAGAAAAGGCTTAACCCTATGAACCCCTCTGGCCCAGACCAATTTAACCCCATCCTCGAATTCCCCAGCAAGTTTCACATTATTTCACTTAGTCATCATTATTTACCATTAATCTAAGAATATCTCTTTTTAACAATACCCAATGTCAGTAACTAGTAAGTAAGGGAACTGGTTTACCAATTTACCCCCAGCTTTTGGGATTAAGCCACTGTTAATGAATA